CCAGTTTTTTTTTTCCCTGTATAATAAAAACAAGAATCAGTTTAGGGGAGTTTTTCCTTATTTTTTTTTTAAAAGAAACGTTAAAAAAAGTCCTACATGTGTGTTTTGGGTTTGTTTTTTTTCGTAGGCCCAGTTCCACACCGGTGTAACTCCACTGTATTAACTAACGGAAATCTATTACATCTATAAAATGTTAATATCAAACCAGTTTATTGCCAGTTCAGGGAATACAACTATTCTCATATTGAAAACTTAAGTCAACAAAAGGGAATGATTTCATCTGAATTAATTACTGCTGCTGCCAGTTCAGGGAATACAACTATTCTCATATTGAAAACTTAAGTCAACAAAAGGGAATGATTTCATCTGAATTAAAATTACTGCTGCGTAAAAAAAAAAAACCCACAGAGGAAACACTTTGGGACGAATACCTACGTGAATTACAGAGCGAAAATAAAATATGTCCTGTCATCTTCCTCATAGCCCAGACTTCCAAACAGGCAAAGCCGTGTAGATTTACGATCATTTCTCTCCGCTCTCATTATTTGGACACACAGAGGTAACGTGCAGCAGAATCTATCCCTTTTTCATTACTTCAAGGTCAACAGGAGGAGACGGCTGGCTGGCTGAGGAGATTACTACCGATTATTCCCTCGCCAGCCCGCCATTTCTTTCCTGCAGCCAAAACCGCAGGAGAGAAAAGAGGGCTCAGTCGTTGTGAGGCTGACTCGAGGTTTCAGCTGACTGGCTTTCCACACGGCTGCGGGTTCAGAATGATCCTCTTCCCTCTCGCTGTTTTCCACAATGCTGAATGAAGGCATTAACGAGCAAGTTCACAGGCTGGCCTTAACCGCAGCAGGCACGACCCAGAAGCATCCCTTTCTCTGCCCTAAGTAACCGGAGCCTAGATTTTTCCGCACAGAGGGGGGGATGCTAACCTGCCCCCCGGCTGTAGCACATACCGTACCTGCACAGTGGCTGGCAGACTACCTCCACCTCTCCAAGGCTTTCTGAGATAACTACATATTAAACGTACTTCATTTCTAAAACTTGAAAAAAGGAGAACGAGCATTGAAAGAGAAAATATGCCTAAAACATAAATCACCAGTAATTAGCAGGTATGTACAGCATGAAAAAACCTACAGAAATTTACAGTCATACAGCAGCTTGCCAGGCATCTCATACAACATACACCCTCTATATATTGCACGGAGATCAGCACAACTCTCCACTCTAATATAACAACATTTGGGTTTTAGATTGGTAGCTACGCAACATCACACAGCGTGGCTGTGAGAAAAGAGCAGGGTAAGAAGCAGTGAATGACAACACATTATCCACTTCAGACCACAAACTGAATTTAGGTAGCCGAACTAATCTGTACTTAATTTGACCAAAACTGTTACTATCACACTTCCCCTGGGAGAAGGAATATGTAAGGCATAAACTTTGCACCTTAAGACTTAATGCAATTCATATGAATGTTTTATGCAGGGGGCGGGGAGAGGTTTTATGATGAATTCATCCAGCTGCTGCCCAAAATCTATCATTTAGGAATTAATAGGAACTAGTTTTGTAGGAACTCACTGGAATCAACCATTTTCTTTGCAAACTGTGCAACTGTCTACACAACCATGAGAGCAAATCAGCTGCAGAAAGACAATGTGAAAAATACGATGCCTATTTATTACTATGGCACTCTTATGTTTAAGAGGCAAAAGGAGCAAGTCTTAGAGTCGGCTATACTGAGGATCATTTATGCTCCTGGAAATGCACAACTGGCGGAACATAAAATATGGTTTTAGTTAAGAAAGCCTGAAGGCTACTGTTATTTATACTAGGTATTTATGATCTTCCAGAAGTTTACTTACACGACTAAACAAAAAAAAACCCATAAGGAGCTTCCTTACAAAAGGAGGATGCCAGTTATTTTTAAGGAACATATATGAAAGTGCTCTTCCACAC